ATATAAGAATAGAATCCTGCATACAGTAATAACAATCATTTATTTTGTCAGTTTATTCATGTTCCTGTGTCATTCTCTGGACTTTCTGAACTTGTTCTTTTCACCAGGGAGGAGGAATTAATGTACCTGGAGTTCATTACAGACGTGACGAATGAGATCTTAACACAGGGCCTTTATTCTGACAGGTGTGTGAGAATGTTTATTTTGTAAGGAGACAAATTGCAAGGCATTTTTGTTAATTTCTCTTGTCTAATGAAGTATTTGTCCTTTCAGGGTACTGAAGAGAGTATTTGAACGTTACATTGATATGAACAAACATCGATTAGATGAGGTGAGCATTTTGGATTTTACAATTCATTTACATGTGGTCTGATGCATTTATATAAAGTGACTTAATTGAGGAAACGTGCAAACAAGTCTTCATTATCTTTTTGTTTATTGTTGCAATAACATGGGACATTTGAGCTCACACTGAACACTAGATTTGTTAAGTTGTGTAATGTATTTTAATGTACTGGATTTACCAGTTGTTTTAAAAATACACTATTTAAATTTTTTTTTTTTATTCATCAAGGATGCATTAAATTGATCAAAAGTGACATTTATAATGTGACAAAAGATTCCTATTTCAAATAAATGGTGTTCTTTTGAACTTTCATTTCATTGGTGAATCCTGAAAAAAAATAATGTATCACGGTTTACACAAAAATATTGTGCAGCACAACTGTTTTCAACATTGATAATAATCAGAAATGTTTCTTGAGCAGCAAATCAGCATATTAGAATGATTTCTGAAGATCATGTGACACTGAAGACTGGAGTAATGATGCTGAAAATTCAGCTTTGATCACAGAAATAAATTACAGTTGAACAGATATTCACGTAGAAAACAGTTATTTTAAATTGTAATAATATTTCACTGTTTTTACTGTATTTTTGATCAAATAAATGCAGCCTTGATGAGCAGAAGAGACTTAAAAAGATCAAAAACATTAAAAAAAAATTACTGACCCCAGCCTTTTGAAAGGTGTGTGTATATTTATTTATTTATTTTAATATTATTAAATGTACCCTGGAGCACAAAACCAGTCTTAAGTCGCTGGGGTATATTTTTAGCAATAGTCAAAAATACATTGTATGGGTCAAAATTATCGATTTTTCTTTTATGCCAAAAAACCATTAGGATATTAAGTAAAGATCATGTTCCATGCCGTAAATATATCAAAACGTAATTTTTGATTAGTAATATGCATTGCTAAGAACTTCATTTGGACAACTTTAAAGGCAATTTTCTCAGTATTTAGATTTTTTTGCGTCCTCAGATTCCAGATTTTCAAATGGTTGTATCTCAGCCAAATATTGTCCGATCCTAACAAACCATACATCAATGGAAAGCGTATTCATCTAGCTTTCAGATGATGTATACATCTTAATTAAAAAAAAAATTGACGCTTATGACTGGTTTTGTGGTCCAGGCTCACATATGCTTTTGCAAGCAACACACAAATCAAACATTATGTGGCACTCAGTTCCAGGCATCTTTTTAAACCAGTCACCTTAGTTGCAGATGTCTCACTCTATACTAGAAGTCCTTGGCATCACTTCCTTTCTCATTCACTCACAGACGTCCATCTCTCTAATATTCCCAACAGAACAAAATGCACCACCTTCTAGACAATCTGCAGGAGGACCTGCAAAGTCCCCCTGCTGCCGTCATCAGTCAGACGCTGCCATCAGATGATGTTGATGATCTGCTTCGTAAAGTGTTTAACGAGGACGTGAGTTCTGCTGTAGCGTCCACACCTGTGCGCCACAGTCGAGCCGGTCTGGAGGAAGTCGACGTGGAGTTCAGTCGTAACGAAGGCAGCGAGATCTCCCTGAATGATCCCAGGAACACTGAAGACGATAATGAAGTGTCACAGCAGGTTGATGAACTTGAGAAATTCATGGCGGAGTCTTTAAGCGTGTCAGAAACTCAACAGCAAGTGTCTGAACAGGAGCAGACGAGAGGAGACATCAGTGATGATGAGTTTTAACTCAGTGAAATGTTTGCAAAAGCACAATGCTTTTTTTTATTTATGACACTGTAATTATTTGCAGTTTCTGCAGAATTTCAGATTTCTGTTTTTGTATTTTTTTGTATTTTATTTTTTTACAGAAAAGCCATGTGTGTTTTCAATTAAGTGATAGTTATGCAGTATTTTCAGCATGCTATGTGCAGTATTCAGTACTTTAATGAACTTTTCTGCTCTTGATTTGGGTGTTTATTGGTTATGTAGTCTGGTTAGGATTCAAAAGCCATGTTGTATTTTTGAAAATGCAAAAGAAGCCTAGTTTGTGATTTAATTTTACTACTTGATTTGTTTACTTTTATGTAACATACAGTTGCAGTATTCATATTCAGTGATATACTTGATATAGTGGACTTGATTTAAACTGGAAGAACATCTTAAAAAATGTCTTTATGGCTATACTTTTATAGTCTTTATGGCTATATAATAACATTGGATATAGATAATAAAATTATAATGCAATTACCTTTGGTTTATGTTTATTGTACACTTTAATAAGTCCTTGAGAATGAAATCATATCAGCATAAGTTAACCGTGCAATAAACATTTAACTTAAGGGTCATTCCTGGGATTCGGTAATATTTCAGTCCCCCAGATTTTCTAAAGTGGCGGTTCACCAAAAATGAATTGTTTATTTTATTTCATTTTTTTCAAAAATAAAGAGACAATAGACACACAATTTGTGTATTTTTAGCTTCAGTCCTGTAAAAATGTGAAAATTATGATAAATGTTACATTTCTTATCATTAAATTGCTATGAGGGGCACATGAGCAGTAGGTAGGTTTGTTTTATAACAAGCCTGGTATTCGGTAATATTTCAGTCCCCCAGATTTTCTAAAGTGGCGGTTCACCAAAAATGAATTGTTAGAAGCTTTTCACAATACTTTGGTATGCCCATTATAATGAATAAATATAATTATTGCATTTTAATATTTTTTAGCATAAAATTATGTCTTGTATCTATCTTAAACCAAGCATTTTGTCATGTTCCAGAGTTTGTACTCAGAAAATTATTAACAAAATGTGCATAGTGTGTGATTTTTGGCAATAATGTAAGCATGTATTTGTGTTCCTTTCTTGTGAAATTTTTTTTTCTAAAAACATGCAAGAAATTTTATTAAAAAAAAAACAGACTTTTTATCATTAAATTGCTATGAGGGGCACATGAGCAGTAGGTAGGTTTGTTTTATAACAAGTTCTGTTTAAAATCCTTTTTAAACCAATCCCATTTTGTCCATTAGGGGGTTGAGAAAAAAGGTCTAAACCTGAAAAAATGAAAATATGATTTTGGAGTTTTTTTTTTGACGTGTGCCTAATGATGTGGGGTATTTTGAAAATGAATTATATGTAACGTAGTTGAAAAAAAAAAATGATATTCCAAGTTGAAATGACCCTTATAAAGTTTAACAGATAACCAGGCATAAAAAAATGACAACACTGTGTCACAGTGTTTTATTACACACCGGCAAATCCGCAAGAGCTGATAAAGTCTTGCTTATCACAGAGTTGTACTGTGGTAAATAATGTGCAGTTATTCACATGGCTTTACAGCAGCTGCTCTCATTCCACGCATTCCACGCGTCTGACGTAATGCGACCTGTATCGATGCGCAGTTGTTCAATTGATTAATCCTATCTCATTTTTCGATCAGACATAACCTTGTTTTCTACTTTTTTTTTTTTTTTTAATCAAAAATGATTTTTTACGCGTTCTGCATTAAAGTCAGTTCTCGTGACTGTGGCGAAACCGAAAAAGACTTCACGGGTGTGAGAGAAAATAGTGCCGCGGATGAATACTGAATACGTTCCCGGTCACCCACTTTAAAGTTATGTCCCTCAGTCTGAACTCAACCCCGTCACACTAATTCTACGCTCATAATAATTTAGACTCTGCTCATATGTGACATTTACCAGAAATTACACCATTCAGGTCTCTTTACTAGTAGTGCAGAAAATGGTTAGTACCATATAGTCAAGGAGGGTACTGTCAAGCTTACCAACTCAACCCCGTCCTAGAAAATAAAGATGGAAAATTATTATTTATTTTTCAACATTTTATTTTAATCCATAAGTATATAAAATGTACTTATTTTATTGCTGCCATATATGGTCTACTCTCTTACACTACATGAGGAGCAGTGCCCATTTTGAGTGAAAAACCTCAACCCCGTCACAAATATATGTATTTCTCATTGTTTCGGGGTTGTAAACTTGTGACAGTTATTTACTTCATTTATTAAAAATGTTAATGAAAAAAAAAATATATATATAGTCATGGTTTCAGTAAATATATACTTACCAAAACCATGACTTTATATTTTTAAATATAATTTTTTTATGTAATATGTCCACTTAAACTTTGCCAAGCATCATACATCAGCAATTGCACCCACATTTGCAGCAGAAAGACAATGTTGGCCATGCAGATATGTTGACCCAGAAACAAGGGGACAATATTAGAGAGAAACAAAACCAAAAATTAAAATTGAAGGCAATGTATCCCTTCAAATGTGTTACAGTCTTCAACCCCGTCACACCTTGTAACATTAATTGGAAAAATATAGGGAAAACACTTAAGAATGAAAGCATTTCTTGCTTATTAACATCTGACATGTTAAGGACTAAATAAAATTGTGGTTTGGTTTTAGTTAAACCAAACCCACGCATTCCACGCGTCTGACGTAATGCGACCTGTATCGATGCGCAGTTGTTCAATTGATTAATCCTATCTCATTTTTCGATCAGACATAACCTTGTTTTCTACTTTTTTTTTTTTTTTTAATCAAAAATGATTTTTTACGCGTTCTGCATTAAAGTCAGTTCTCGTGACTGTGGCGAAACCGAAAAAGACTTCACGGGTGTGAGAGAAAATAGTGCCGCGGATGAATACTGAATACGTTCCCGGTCACCTTTCCTCTGGTATTCCGAGCGGATGTGACGCAGCAGCAGGAGTGTGACCCGAGGAACCTCAAACATGCGTCAATCCCGAAAAAACAAACTCCACCAAATATCGGATTATCATCACAAACCTTAATTCCTACTCCAGAAACTATTCATGCTATAAATCGAGGATATAATAAATCAGATAATCCAGCAGGTAAGCGGCGGAGAGCTTTTGAAATCATTCTTTTCCACAGTTTTACTCAAAAGTGTTAGCAGCGCTAGCCAGCGCGCGTTCTTAAACTCTAAATAAAGATAAAACTCATTCATCTTAATAAATCTCACCTATTTAGACCTTTAAGTGTGTGTTTGGAGACTTTCATGTCTTATTTCATGAAGTGTATAAGTCCCATCTGGATGCGTGCGGTTTTGTGGTCACTTGTTGCTCCAAAAGTTAGTCAGACATTTTTGGTGTTTGTTTACATTTCGCAAAAGCAGAAAAACTCCTCTATTTCTAACAGCGACCGCAGAATTAAGAGCTTCGATGTACTTTTATTTAATCAAATACCTATTTTTACATATTCGAGGGCCTTACGCCTAAATCACGGTTCTTTGTTGTTTTGTTTTTGTTGTTTAGTCTTATTCGTTCGATGCCATTAATAGTCATAGTGGATATAATTATTGTATTTATAATAAATATGTAATTTTGTTAATAATTATAAGAGGTATGACTCTATATTTACATACTGGCGCATATGTATAACATGCTGTTAAGAATTTGGCATTTGTTTGGTCTCATTATACTATTGTGATTGATTTATAACGGTATGAATTATGGTATTGATCTGTATTTTGATTTTCTGGTGTCTGACAGATTGTGTGAATTTGCTTTATGTCATGCTTCAAAAATAGATTTTAATAAATGCATTGTATCTATAGTGGTTCTCAACTGGTTTTGCTTCAAGAAATAGATTTAAAATTGCATATTGAGTGGTGACCTGAATTGTTTATCACGCAAAAGTAACAAAATGTCCATAAAATCACAGATGTATTCATATTAATAAGCCATCAATTATGTACAAATACCCAGTTTGTTCTAATTTAAATTGGTATACTGTGCCAATTTAAAATATATTTCTCTTTTATTAAGCTACATTAGGTGTTTGTCTACTCTGTATGCTACTGTAATGAGTATTTATTTATTTGTATACTTATGTTAATACAATTTTATTATTTATCTAAATATATTTATGCATTTATGTTAATATTTTATTAATTAAAATATTATATTATTTTATTAATTATAATATTATATTAATATATTTTTATTTATTCTTTTTTATCGTTTTTCAGTTTGAAAACCCCTTGTGTGGTTTAGATAACACAATGAATACGTTTATGTAAATGTCTTTTATCGAATAATCTGTGTATTGTTTATTTTATTAATTATAATATTATATTAATATATTTTTATTTATTCTTTTTTTATCGTTTTTCAGTTTGAAAACCCCTTGTGTGGTTTAGATCACACAATGAATAAATTTATGTAAATGTCTTTTATCGAATATTCTGTGTATTGTTTATGGATATGGAACAATATCGTATTAGTCATACTACTAAGTGACAGATGAATTTGAGTTCAGACTTTGACGTCAACTGCAAAAAATACAGAAAGCGTTTTTTCCTCCTTTGTAAAATTTGATATCCATCATTATTTTGCTTTTAAATTATGCATGATTACATGGTTAATTTGCATAGTTTTTTGCTTGTCATCTGTGACCCGCCAGTTGTGATTTTATCAGGAAGAGCAGATAAATACTGACACGGCTCTGAACGCTTGGGCCGTTTGTATCTGTGAATGTCGTTGCTAATCTGTTTTGCTGTGGTTTGTCTTTATCCAGGGACTCATGTGTTTGTCTTGGGAAGCCCTGTATAATCCAGCACCCCTCCATGGTTACCACAGAGAAAAGCTGAGTCCAGTCATTCTGCTCGAAGAGGGTCGTGGCACCGGTGCAACATGCCCCTTCCGTTCGGATTAAAGCTCAAGAGAACCAGAAGATACACGGTGTCCAGCAAAAGCTGCCTGGTGACCCGCATACAGCTGCTCAACGGCGAATATGTGGAGTTCACGCTTTCGGTGGAAAGCACGGGACAGGAATGTCTGGAGGCAGTCGCGCAGAGACTCGAGTTACGGGAGGTAGGATTGTACTGTTTTTGGTTTAATCTGGTCGAAATCACCTTAACACAGCTTGGGCGTGTGTTTATTTTAGCTCGCTGGTGCCGTCTGGAGTCTCGGCTATTCTAGGACTGCTACCAAAATGCTGTCAAACACCCTAAATGCATGTGTGCCAAGAATTCGGCCTGGACTCTGGGTGCTTCATTTGCATGCAGTCAGCTGCTCTTGAGAAGTCTGAATCAGATTATTGTGTTAGTATGCTATTCATATCTAGTTATAGATGACCATGTCTGTTCAGACATGGTTTATGAGTCTCGTTTTCTTTAGCAACCAACTGTGGCTTTTAGTAAAGTGTGTTTAGTAGCCTAAAGTTCACTAATACAGTGATTTAGTCAGCACGTACTAATTGTGCATGCTTATAGAATCCTTCCAAGGTTGATGCTAAAGCAAAATTACAGTATTGGTAATTAAAAAAAACTTTGATAGTCTATAACGTTGGCAAATATCATGTCCAGGTCAGCATCAGGATTGTAGGTGAAATTTATATTAATGCATAAGATAAAGATGCTGTAAGTGATCACCATTTCGTTTCAGTTTTCATCCATTTTAATGACCATTTAGCTGTTTTTGCAGATTCAGTTATAGTCCTGTGCTTGGATACGAGTTTTAGAAGTACACATATTTCATGCATGTAGTCAGTGACTTAATATGAGACTGCCTGTATAGTCAAAGTATAATAAAGGAATTTGGAAAATGTTGATTTAAGTAGTTTTAGGTGATGTTGACAAGTATTATATATCTAGTTTAGCATCAAGATTATTGGTTAAATTTGTACGAGGGTGCTTTCACACTAGCACTTTTGGTGCGCACCCGGGTTCGTTTGACGTCAGAGTTCGGTACGTTTGGATGATGTGAACGCGGTCTTCTGAACTCGGGTGCGCACCCGCGAACCGTACCCGAGTCCGCTTAAAAGGGTGGTCTGGGGTACGGTTCAAGTGAACTCTGGTACGGTTCGCTGCTGATGTGAACGCAATCGTACCAAATCACGGTCGAACCGCGGTTCGGACCCAAATAATATAATGTGAACACAGTCCAGTGGGGGCAGGGGGAGGGGGGAGCAATCAAACTCGGGTTCGGACCAAGCAATCGAACCAAGTGTGAAAGCACCCTGAATTAATAAGATGCTGGGTATATTTAGGTGCTGTAACTGGTCATTTAGTTTCAGTTTTTTACCCATTTAAATCATCTAGCCTTGCATTTTGATATGGATTTAAATTTAATGCAAGTAGTGTGTGACTTAATGAGTCATAAAAAACAGCTTGTATAAAGGAATTTGAAAAATGTTGATTAAAATAGTTTTAGATGAAGTATAGCGTGATGAAATGTGTAGTTTAAAGGGTTAGTTCACCCAAAAATGAAAATTAGCCCATAAATTACTCACCCTCAAGTCATCCTAGGTGTATATGACTTTCTTCTTTCAGACGAATCCAGTCGGAGTTATATAAAAAATTGTCTTTGATCTTTCAAGCTGTTTAATGCCACTTTAGCTACATTAAAGTGATTATTACGTTTTGAATATGGATATTTTTCTTACAAAAACGCATCGATTCACTACAGAAGGCCTTTGTTCACCCCCCGGAGCCGTGTGAGACACTTTTTTTTTAATGGATGTGCGCATTTTATTTAACTGCTTTTGGACGGATGCATGCAACACCCGCTGAGTGCCATGAAACAACTTGAAAGATCAAAGACAATTTTAAATATAACTCCGACTGGATTCGTCTGAAAGAAGAAAGTCATATACACCTAAGATGACTTGAGGGTGAGTAATTTTTGGGCTAATTTTTTCATTTTTTGGGTGAACTAACCCTTTAAGTTTTTCATTTTTTTTTTTTACTTGGTCAAATCAGTATTATTAATTGGAAAAACATATAAAGTTGACAAATATTATGTCCATTTTGAATTTTGCAGGTGAGCTCGAATGCATAATACATTTTGGCATATATGTCTTTTTATGAATTCATAAAGTAAAACGCATATTTTAGAGTCTGTAACTGGACACTATTTCTTTTCAGGTTTTCACCTGTTTTAATTACTATTTTGCTATTTTTTGATAGTCTTGTGCTTTAATATGAATTTTTAAAAGTAGAAATATTCTATGCTTGTAGTTTAGAGCTTAATATGAATCATACAAACTGTGTGTATAATAATTATTTAATGTAATTTAAAAAAATATTAAAAATAGTTAAGATAAACAGTTGTAGCCTGGAAAGTTGACACGCATAAAGTATTTATTTTTTATTTTTTTTTAGCATCAAGATTTTAGGTTAAATGCATATGAATGCATAAAGTTATGCTGTAGCTGGTCATTATTTCTGTTCAGTTTTTTTCACTTGTTTTAATCACCTATACATGTAGCTATTTTTGGAGATCAATAACCATCCTGCTGTGTGACATGAACAAATGTGACAGTACAAATGTTCCATGCATGTAGTATCTCAGTTAGTCTGAGCTCATAATGTGTAATTATATAAAGACATTTTTTTAGGATGTCACGCCTCTCCTCTTTTGCTAAAGAGGAGTCTTAGTCAAAACGTTGAGAATATGCCCAGTCTTCACCTCCAGAAATACTCAATTTGAAGTTAAACACGAGGTCCGGCCTCCCGGCCTGTTGTTTCTCACGAGTGAAAGAGCAATCAGTGAAATTCTGTTCATTCCCCAGATAACGTATTTCAGCCTCTGGTACTGCAACAAACAAAACCAGCAGAGATGGATTGATCTGGAGAAGCCGCTGAAGAAACAGCTTGACAAGTACGGACTGGAGCCGACCGTTTACTTTGGGGTGGTGTTCTACGTGTCGTCTGTTACACAGTTACAACAAGAGATAACCAGGTTAAGGATGAGAATATGTTTAAAACGGTGTCATCAGTGCAGTTAGGACGCTTTTACTCACTTCCTGTTTTCTGCAGATATCAGCATTATCTCCAGCTGAAGAAAGACGTTCTGGAGGGGAAGATCCCGTGCTCCATTGAGCAAGCCATTCATTTGGCCAGCTTGGCTGTGCAAGGTACTTTTTTCCAGATATTTCAAGTATGCTGAGAAATGATGATTGATTCTGGCCTAGGGCTGCGCTGTCCCCAGTTTCAGATGATTTAGTTATCGTTAAAGGGATAGTTCACCCAAAAATGGAAATTACCCCATGATTTACTCACCCTTAAGCCTAGCTGTATATGATTTTCTTCTTTCAGAAAACAATCGGAGATATATTTGCCCATAAATGCCAATAGACTCATTATTCAATTAGAAAAATAACTCTAGAGAGTAGCATTTTGCTAAATATATGTACTATATTATATATTTATTAAATGTTTTACTTCTTTAATATCTATGTATGTTTGTTTGAATAAATCAGCCATGAAAACAAGTTTTTATGACAGTCACTGTTTAAATGTGTATTAAAACTGCCTTATGTGCAATTTAGATGATTCTATATAAATCAGTCATTAATTTTTACCTGTTCTTAAGTATTTTATGTTTAAATAAATTAAAGCATGTTTTTGTCAGCAACTGTTTAAATATTTATTTAAATATAAAAAAAATAGATAAGAAACATAATGTCACTAAAAAGTTATTAGAATGTCATTATGATAATAAAATGTCTTTATTGTGCAGTTTAAATATACAAATCACATACATATTAATGTGTATACATATTAAAGTGTATACAAATTACTTTAATATTATAGTAGTCTACTAGCTGACAGTTAGATTAATATTTAATATTAAATCAAATGAATTGATTTATTGTGAATCGATACTAAATGAATCGATGTCAAATCAAAGCTTGTGAACTGAATCAAATCATGAATTTTGTGTCAATACGCAGCCCTGCTAAGTGTTTTGAAGTCATATGCAGGTCATCATTTGATGAAAATCTCCCTTTCACTCTCAGATCCCTTTAATATAATGTGGAAGGTGTTTTGAGATGCAGTTATAAGTTGATGTTGCAAGAGAACATTTGCTTTAACATTCTTAAGATAATGTTCGGCCAGTGTCTGGTTCACGGGTTCAGATACTCCATCGTGAAGGTACGGTTTTATATTTCTACGGGCTGCGAGTCTAGAAAATCAGAGCACCATTTATCAAGCTGTGCTGCCAGGCTTTAGCTTTTACCCAACACAAGAATCTCATACGCTGCTGGCAAAGATACATGTGGCAGCACCAGTTACTGGACTGCTGTTAACATAGCAGAGGAACTGACGTCACTCACTGTCACAGCCAGATCAAAAAAATAGTTCCCGTATTTGCACTGTCAAAAGGCCTTTGTCTTCACGTGGTCTTCATTTCAATGAGGCCACACATATTCAGTGAGAGTTATTTTTGCACCAGCATTGCTGTGTAAGGAGGCTTCACGCGATGGTAATGTTTCGAATTGTCAGCATAGCTATGAACATTTCTAACGGGCTGATTAGACATGCTGTTAATGTTGAGCTACTACAGTTACAAAGACTAAATCGATTCCTTCCATAACAAAACGTCTCTTGGCTTTTCTAAATTTAGATGTGCAATTTCTATAAATGTTGTAGATGATTTTGCAGGAGTGTCAGCTCACATTTTACATTTTAAACCCAACATCAAACCCATAAAATCAATGCATCTTCATTCAGAATGAGAATGTGTAAAAAAAAATTTAATAAATACATTGAAAATATATAAAATAATTTGTAAAATAAAATAAAAATATTAATACATTTATAAAATAAAAATAAATGCATAAAATAATTTGCAAAAAAAGTAAAATAAACGAATTAGTAAAATGAAATAAAAAAATAACACAATTCTTTGTAAAATGCAATAAAAATAAGTACATAATTTATAAAATAAAAATAAAATAATTTGTAAAATAAAATCTAAAAATAAATTTAAAGTTATAAACTAAAAATATAAAAATACATAAAATAAATTGTAAAATGAAATACAAATCAAGTTTGTAAAATAAAAATTAGTAAAATAACTTCTAATTTAATTGGTGTTTGCAAAGTCAAATTCATCTCTATTAATATTGCTCATAGCTCATAGGATTAGAGATTTGAATGTGCATCATGTGCATCTTCAGATATTGTATATCTAGTTAAAAAAAAAAAAGAATAATAATATATCGCCCCATGTGTCTTCCTTTGAGGAATCAATTGAGGCTTTTTAATGTAAAACTAATCTTTTGTTTGTCTGTTGGTTCCAGCCGACCTTGGGGACTTCAATCGATATGATTCCCAGGAATTCCTTCAAAAAATTGTGCTTTTTCCAATGGTATGTAGTCATTGAACATTTTATTGTCTATTCCAGGAATAAAGACGGCAGGATATTTCATGAGTCTATTATTTCTACGCTCTTTCTCTGCTTTTCTCAGCCATGGATACAGGACGAGAGGGTTGTGGAAGAGGCCACTCAAAAAGTCACCATGCTCTATCAAAACTACCGGTGAGAGGCTGTAGTTATTTGCAAAATGGGAAAAGCCTGAAAAACTGTTGGCCACAGTTTATGTGAGGTTCAGTGAGGAGGCTTCGTGATTATCAGATGTGTTCAGATGGTTCCTGTTAGAGGATTTCAAAGGAAGCTGTCAAACCCCTGACGTGACTTATGACCAGACTTGCAGCTTTGGGCTCAGAGCAACATAAACGCTCTTGGCTGTCCTGCAAATGTTCTGTTTCAGAAGGTCTTTCAGATGAGGTTTGCATGTGCTTGGCACACGTTATGCTGGGACATATATACTGAAATAGTTGTCACGTTTTGTTGTTGATATAAAATCAATTAACATCTAAATCTTGATGTTTTATTTGGCCTTTATGTTTCTAAAAGTACGTGTCTTTAAACTATATTATGCATTATGAAAGATGTTTTAATTTCATCTTAAATTTAAACTTCAGTAACAAAATAGAGTTAAATTTGATATGTTGATATAAAAACTATATATTTATCAGGGTTTCTGTTTGTCTTTAAAGTCTTAATTCGCTCCTTCCACAAATTAAGGCCTTAAAAAGGTCTTAAATCAGAGTAGAAAGTCTTAAATTCATAGTCATGTTGCACACAATACAAAAAATTAATATTTCCTCAGTATTTCTGTTATTTTCCAATACAAATATCTAAACAGCCCTAAATCAAGATGCATTTGCATAAAATGCAAAATGAAGATAGTTGATGTTATCTGAACAATTAAACAAAATTAAGTAAGTTTATGCATAAAACAAGAAAAAAATATCTGTCAATGTGGTATGAACATTTTCCTTTGAATCAAGTTGATTTTTCATTCCATTGGCAGATTTTGTTCTCGTTTTAATCATAAGCTCACTTCATTTTGATCAGTTTCTCAGAAAACAAGACTTAAGAAACTTTAGACATTTGCACTGGAAAATAAGGCAAAAATACGGAGGAAAACATCACTTTTTTGCAGCATGAACAGAAGGTACAGTAAAAGTTAATTCCATGTTCTACTTAAGCTTTTTTTTTGCAATGCATTAAAAAATAATCTATACTGAATGTAATCTAGTTCTTCGGTTCTTTATGGCACGTCATGCAGCTGAAACTTTCATCGTCTTGGAAGAAATATACGCACACATTGCAGTGCTCTGACACTGTTTGTGTAATGCACGATAAGCATGAGGAAGAATCAGCACAGATATGTCTGATAATGATATCAGATGACAAGTGCGTTGTTGAATGTGACCTTTGTGCTGTAGTGTCTCAAATCAGAGCTGTGTGTGTGTTTTCTGTTTCCCAGAGGTCTGTCCTCACCAGAGGCGGAGTTACTCTACATGCAGGAGGTGGAGAAGATGGAGGGGTACGGTGAGGAGAGTGTCCAAGCGAAGGTAAAGCAGCAAAGAAAAGCTGTTCTTCATGCAATTCATGTTCCCTTTCATGGGTGGCAGCTCATTATGCAAGAGTGCTTGTGATTGCTCTGACAGTGTAAAAGTGTGAAATACATGCACCTAAAATACCATGAAACCATGCACATGAATATATTTCCTACTGTTTAGTTCTAAAACTTTAAGCTTGCCTTATAATAGATTCCCCTGACACATTTTGCATCATGCAATAAAAATGTTACCAAAACAATAAATATCACAAAGGCTTTTACACTTTGGTGTGAATTTGCTTGTCAAGAAAGACGTGATATTATTTTTCTAAGCCACCATCTTAGAAATTGCAGAGAATTTACTCATGCTCAAGATGTAAATGAGTTTGTTTCTTCATCAGGTTTGGAGAAATGTAGCATTGCATCAGTGTCTCAGCAATGGATGCTCTGCAGTGAATGGGTGCCGTCAGAATGAGAGTCCAAACAGCTGATAAAAACATCACAATAATCCACAAGTAAATTTTGTTTCTGGCTAAAATGCGAGTCCCTAATAACACTTCCTCCAGTGAAAAAGTGGTCTGGTCTGAATCAGGAGAGAAATCTTCACAGATCAAACACCGTTTAAACAGCTCTAAACAAATATGTGGCTGGATTTTGATGTGAGAGACAACAGAAGATGGACTTTTTCACTGGAGAAGTGTTATTATGGATTATGGATTTTAGCTGGAAGCAACTGTTTGAAGTTAAAAACTTGTTAAAGATGGAAAAATGTATTTTGTCTTATCCAGATGTTAACTGATGGACTGGAGTGGTGTGGATTATTGTGATGTTTTTATCAGCTGTTTGGACTCTCATTCTGACGGCACCCATTCACTGCAGAGCATCCATTGCTGAATTATTAATTATTTTAAGACATTGAGAGCCCCAATTATTATACGATGCTATATTTTAAGATTTTCTTCCTTGTGTCTAAATAGGATTTTAAGATTTTCTTCTTTGTGTCTAAATAGGACGCTCAGAGCACAGATGTGATCATCGGCTCTTGTCTGGACGGGATTTTTGTCAAGCACAAAAATGGGAAAGCACCTCTCATGTTTCAGTATGTGTGCATGCATTACAGCTTGTATTAAATATTTGTGACATATTTATTATGTTTAGCAATCCTAAGTTTTATTTTGCAGTGATTTTTTTGTATGCATTTATATTTGGCTATTACATTTCCTAAAGATGTTTGCATCAGTCAACAATGTTTAAGGAAGTCTTTGCATGGCATATTATAATGTTTTAATAAAAATATTATTTAGGTAATATTACTACCAATTACAGTGTCTTATTTTGCAGCATATAAATGAATATGATTATTCTTGTGTTAATAGAGTGAAACATACTGTGCAAAACATGCATTGATGAATGTAACTAGATTTATTTCCGTATTTTACTTGGTTTCTTCCTATTGGGAAAAATTCCCCCTTCCTCAGAGCAAGAAAAATCAATATAGAGATTTGTGTCAGATATTGTCAAAAGGCTTTTACTCGTGCACTATTGCCCTAGTCTTCAAAAGGCTGTTTATCATCCAGCATATTGTGTTTCTAGGTTGTGTTTTACTGTCATGGGTCTGACTCAACTCCTCATTGTTTCTGCAGGTGGAATGACATTAATAATATGACTCATAATAAGTCTTTCTTTGCCCTGGAGCTCGCCAACAAAGAAGACACAATCCAGTTCCAGACCGTAAGTCAGATGCTTCAGATGCTTCTTTTTCTTTGCCTAAAATAGCCAAAAGACTTCAATTAAGCTGCAGTTATGCTATCACATATATGCCTATATGAATGTCCATTCCTATTAGTGAATAGATTTGTTGCTGGCCTCTAAGGAACGCCACTAATTTAGGCCCTGAGACACATGAGTCAATGTTCTGGCCTGATTTGATTCAGTAAAAATGTTCTGGCTCCGTTTCAGGAGGACATGGAGACGTCCAAATACGTGTGCAGGATGTGGCTGGCGCGGCACAAGTTTTACAAAATTAACAACAGCAGTCTGTAAGTTCGTGTGTGTGTGTGTTTTCTGTTGTATGTGTTACGGATGCACTGATTTTGGCCAATACAATTTAAACAAATCTAAAGCCTGCTATAGATGCCCGTCATTTGTCTTTTATTTCCCTAAATAAACTATTTTTAATGTTGTGACTAAACAATCAGTCATTAGTGGATTGGATCTGGTGGATGGATGTGTAACGGGACGTTATATGCACAATAAAAAGAAAATAAATAAATAAATCATAATTTAGCAAATAATTTAAACCAAAGTTTGGGGTCAGTAAGATTATTTAGCGTTTTTGTCTCTTCTGCTCACCAAAGCTGCATTAATTTAATCGAAAATACTGTAAAAACAGTGAAATATTATTTCAATTTAAAATAACTGTTTTTTATTTGAATATTTTGTGAAATGTAATTTATTCCTGTGATCAAAGCTGCATTTTCAGCATCATTACTCCAGTCTTCAGTGTCACATGATCCTTCAGAAATCATTCTGATGTATCGAGAAACATTTCTTATTATCAGTGTTAAAAACAGTTATTTTACTTCAAACTTTTGTGGAAACATCTTTTGAGAATAGAAAGTTCAAAAGATCAGCATTTATTTTAAATACAATTTATATATATATATGTGTGTGTGTGTGTGTGTGTGTGTGTGTGTGTTACCTTTGATCATTTGACTGCATCCTTGCTGAAAAAAGTATGAAAAAAAAGTTGAATTTATTCAGTAATTGGCTGCTTCATCAGTGCGTCTGTAGTTTTGTGGGTCTCCTCCTTCACCGTTGTCCGTTTACTGTCTCCAGAGAGCTGTCTGATGGCCCAAACTCTGAGGGCTCCCAGAGGTCCATTCTCTCTCTTTCTTTTCCTCGTTTTCCAAACCTATGTCGTCCCTCTGTGCCTGCTGACAAGGGGTGAGCCTGACTGCACGAGGGCGTCAATGCATTACTGCTCAGAGCTTCTCATGGGCTACAGAGTGACGGGAAACTCCTGATAACTCTCTAAAGGAATGACATGACAACATGCTCGGGTCACATTTCACAGCGAATAAAAAAAATTACAAATTCTTAAATAAAATGCAGCCCTTTTTGGATCATTACATTTTTGGCAAGTTTAATTTATTTTATCAAGATAATTTATAGACAGTAAATCAAATACTACTTTTTAAAAAATAAATATAAAAATTTACAATAATTTCCCATTACAGCATCATAGTGATTAGTTAAATATTGAGAATGTGGGTAAAAATATACCCTATTCTTATAAAAATGTCAATGCGACAATGCAGATATTTTTGAAAGAAGTCTCTTCTGCTCGTCAAGGCTGCATTTATTTGATCAAAATTACAGTCGAAACAGTAATACTGTGAAATATTACATTTGAAATAACTTTAACTATTTTATGATCATTAAGTATTTTATTTTTAATCAGGACTAATTATAGTCAGTAAATCAAATGCTACAATCTTTGTATATATATATATATATATATATATTAAATATTGAGAATGTGGCTGAGAGTTGTCATGAAAATGTCACAATGCAAAAAAATTAAATGCTGTGCAAAATGCAAACAACTGACTTTGTACCGTAGTATCGCAGTGCATGTGACAAATAAAATGCTGAGCTTTATTACTCTCTGGTTTATTTCACACTTGTCTTTTATTGTTTTGTGTTTTATTACAGACAAACGCAGCCCGCTCCAGTAAACACAGTGAGGCGACGGTCCTCTACAAGAATGTCTCTGGTCAGCATTATACCAGTTATTCGATGACTATACAACAGTTTTGCTATGGAGCTTGTTCTGTAGGACGTTTCTGGAGTTTGTCGGCTTTTCATGATCTCATTTGTTTTCAATGTGATTTACTGTAGCTCTATTCCAAAACCTTGCTCTCTACGTAGGCAGCTCCCTTTTAAGGCAGCATTCTAACTAAAATGGAGCCTTATAAATGTCATGATAAGCATAAAAAACAAAACTTGCACTTGTATGACTTCAAATGCAAAGTCTAGATAGGCAGCTCACTAGGTTTGGGACAGAGTTAATATGTCAAGCTGAATAATGCTGCTTTTGTTTTGTCTTATGATGCAGCCAAAACCGCAACCCTACATGATGCCACCTCAGATGCACTTTAACGGCCATTACACCGAACCGTACACATCTTCACAAGGTAGAACATGTCCCATCAGCAACAGGCCAAAAATGCTTTGTCCGTTCTCAAAAAAATTATTTTCTTATTTAGTATTTTGCATCTAAACATTGTTAAATTAAGAGCAAAATGACAGAATTTAGTGAGTTTAAGCTTAATTGGCGGCTCAAGAGAAATGAACTTTATTCAAAGAAAACAAGTTTGTTTTTCTGAATCGATATTAGTTCTTGTTTTAAGCACACTTAATCTTAATTTTGATACATTTTTCAGAAAAGAAGATTTAATATAATATTTAAACATTCTTAAATCAAGATACATTTAGTTAAGAAGCAAAATAACGTAACTTAATATATAACATCATAACTTAAGATATTAAGTCTTCTCAAGGTAATGTATCTTGATTTATGAGTTGATATATTTGTATTTGAAAACAAGACGAAAATACTAAAATCATTCTTGGTTTTTATTTTTGTATTTTTCTATTTAAATCAAGATAAATTATAAACATTAAGTCCAATACTACAATTTTTTTTTATAAATATATCAATTTAAATATAAATTAAATTGATCTTGATTTAAAAAAAAGTTTGTTAAAAATACTATTGTATTTTATTTCATGTATTATATTTTGTAGTTAAAACAAGGTAAATTGTAGACAGTAAATCAAAAACTACAATTTCTATAAATATTAAAACATGGACAATGTGGGTGAAAAAGTCATCAATTTTTGTGAAAATAACCTATGCCATTTTTCTCAAGTTAATTTATTCTGATTTTAAGTTTGTACTGGAAAAAGACAAAAATACTAAGTAAAATAAGCATTCTTGTATTTTATTTATTATATTCTTTTTATTTAAATCAGCCAGTAAATCAAAAACGTTATAAAAATCTTTTATAAAAATGTAACTTTACAATATTTTTGCATCATAATGATGCTGACTTTGAATGACTGTCATTTTGCTTCTCAAGTGAATGTATCTCGATTAAAGCAAGTTTAGATATTTGTAAACAAGACAAGACAAAAATAATAAGAACTGATGCACCTCTCTTGTATTTCCTACAGATAATCTTTACATCAGCAACCAGAACGGTTTCTACTACCATTCCCAGACCAGTCTGGACCGCTCTCCGCACGAGTACAACGGCCGAATGCGTAACGGCAGCGTTTACAGCGCCCAGAGCACCAGCTCCCTCAACAACCCGCAGCACTACCTGCAGCCGTCGCCCATGTCGTCCAACCCCAGCATCACAGGAAGTGACCTCATGCGGCCCGACTACGTGCCTTCCCACCGGCACAGCGCCCTGATCCCGCCGTCCTACCGTGCCACTCCCGATTACGAGGCGGTCATGAGGCAGAAGAACCTCGGGATGATCCCGCCGGCCGAGCGCCAGAGCCACTCCATGAGGAACCTCAACATCGGCAACTCTTACGCCTACAGCCGGCCCGACCCGCTCGTGTACAGCCAGCCGGAGATCCGCGAGCACGGCGCGGGCCAGTACCCCTTCCACCTCAACTACAGCTTCCACAGCCCCACCCCGTACCCCTATCCCACCGAGAGACGACCTGTCGTGGGCGCCGTCAGTGTCCCCGAGCTTACCAACGTCCAGCTCCAGCAGGCGCAGGAATATCCGCCGCCCAACATCATCAGGAATCAGGTTTATTGGCCGCCGCCGCCATATCCCTACCCTCACCCTCGACCCGCCAACAGCACCCCGGACCTGTCCCGCCATCTCTACGTCAGCAGCAGCAATCCGGATCTGATCACGCGCCGCGTCCATCACTCGGTGCAGACCTTTCAGGAGGACAGCTTGCCTGTGGCGCACTCGCTGCAGGAAGTGAGCGAACCGCTCGTCACGACCCGGCGGCCTCACATGCACAAGCGCAACTCCATCGAGATCGCCGGTCTGGCGTACGGCCTGGAGAACATGAGGCTGAAGGAGAGGAAGGTGAGTCATTTTGGGAAGTTATACGTTATACACATTTAAAACTATTTTCAGTAGTGTTTGTTCAATTATTCTGTCATTTATGTACCTTTAGTTATATACGAACAGTGCCGATCCTAGACTTCTGGGGGCCCTACGCAAAACTGTGTCAGTGCCGTGGAGTGGGATATGAGTGGTTATGAACGAACGAATGAATGAAACGCATTTGTCCGTGTTTCACTCTGTCTCGAATCGCGCTCGGGGAAAGCGCTTGAGAAACAGTGTCTCTTTCGTGGCTTTCAACTCGTTTTTTTAAATCTCGTGCAAGACTGTACGACATTCACATTACATGATTTGACTGATTGTTATGTAGAAAAGGCAACAGCGCACCCCATTAAAAGATTCATGTTTTCATAACCGCTGGCCAAATTAAAAAACAAAACTAAAATTAAATCATCTTTGAGAGCAAGGGGGCCCCTTGGTGTTTCGGGGGCCCTACGCAGCTTGCGTATTTTGCGTATAGGGAGGATCGGCTCTGTATACGAATCCTAATTCTATAATTAATTCTTATATATTTATATTATTATAATGTATATTAAGCTCTGATTCTAGATTTTTTTTTTAATTCATTTAATTCATGTGATGTTAAAAATGTTTAAACCTATTTTCAATAGCATTTGTTAGTTCTGTGATTTATATAAAATAATTGTATAGGAATCCTAATAATTTAATGTTTTATAATTACATAGATATATAGTTGGATAGATATATATTATTTATATATCTACCTGTGATTCTTGATTGAATTATATTTAAGAGAATTGTTTAAATAGTACGTGTGTTGATAAATCCTATGATTATATTTATATAAATCCTACTAATTATAAAATTATTTTATAATTATTAGCATTATTATATGATTACAATATATATAAAATTGTATATATATATATATAATTTTTATATACTTTCATTTGTGATGTTATACACATTGTAAATTATTTTCAGCAGTTTTGCTGATTCTTACATAATTTCTTATATAACTTCTAAGAATAACCTCTTATATAATTGTAATTATAGTTAATAATATCTGATTCTAGATTGAACTATTTGAGATAATTTGTTTTGAATTCATTTAATTTATATTTTATGTGACAGTATGCATATTCTAGCTCAAACTATATTTGAGAGAATTTATTTTATTTTATATCTGTATCTTCGGTGTGACGTTATAAACATTTAAACAGAATTTTGCCAATTAATAATATATACTTTATATAATGAATTAAATAAAAATCATAATTATTTAATTCCTGTGTAATTATTAATAATATAAGATTCTATATTCTATTTTGAATGAATTCATGAATATTTAATGCATCAACCACCCATGTATGTGCATCTTCATCTTCATGTTATGCATTTAAAGCTCTTTTCAACAGCATTTTGCTAATTATCTAATAACATATTTAATTAAGAATGCTTATAGTTAATTCTTATATAATTATTAGCAATAATCTCAGATACTAAATTAACTATATTTAAGAAAATGTATTATTGATTTTATTATTTATTTACATTTTTTGCATCAACTACCCAGGCATCCGCATCAGCAGCTGAGACCCCGCCCCCTGTTGCCCAGGCGATGCCACCTACAGCATCCGGCTCCGACATCAACGTCGTCCTGGAGGTCACGAAGCCCGAGGATGCGGTCATGAAGGAGGATGTCATCTACGGGCACAAAAAATCCCTGTCCGACGCCACGATGCTAGTGCACAGCAGCGGTGAGGAAGAAGAGTTCGAAGACGACAGCGGACGACACACACCACAGTCTCAGGATGCTGTGGGCGGTCCCGAGCATCACATGACGCCGATGGGACGGCCCCTCGTAGATCCGCCTGCTTATCCGTTCAGCCACAGTATGGAGACGGTCCCAACGGGCCCTCTGGCGTACCAGCCCCATTCCATCATCCGCAAACCAGAGGACATGGGGCAGCTGCCGCCTCTGCGAGAGCCCGGACACATGGTGCCCTCGGTGTCAGAGGGGAATCTGAGCGGACAGGGACGCTTGAGACAGAAGAGGGACGTCTATAAGAGACCCGTCTCTGACGTGCCACCTGCCAGAAGGAACATCGATGGTCTTCCACCAGCGGTAAGTTCACTTGAAGATCAGAACTGAATCAGAATCAGTTAAACATGCATTTGGGAATGCAACGTACACTAAGTTGAGTTTTTTTTGCACATTCACATAATGTTAAAAGCTTGAGAGTTTGAATGTTTGAAAGTAAAAAATATAAAGACATGCATATTAGGGTTGCAAAAAGGTGGAAAATTTCCAGTAAATTTCGGAAACATTCCAGATATTTTGGAAACATTCCAGGATTTTTGGAATATTCCAGGAATTTTTGGAGTTTACGGAAATTTACTGGAAATGTTCCACCCCTTTGCAACCCTAATGCATATTCTTGTAATGAAGTGCTAAATAAATTATAATTGTAAAATAATTTTATATTAAGCAGTAGAATTGTAATTTGCAAAAGTAATGTATTCTGCATTTTTATAAATATTTAAAATTATTATTATTATTAATATTATTTTAAAGCTTTAAATCTACTTTAAAGTCCAGCTACAAAGTCAAAATAAAACTCTAATTTAAAAGATTAATCACTTCACTTAAAGATCAGAATTGAATCAGAATCGTGAAAAAAAAAAAAAGACAAAATATTAGACATAAATATTATTGTAACCTGTAGTGTAAAATAAAATGATTATAATAATGTATATTTTTATAAAATAAAATTATAATTCTAAAATTGTGTATTTAACAGTAGAATTGTAATGTACTAATAAAATAAAATTATAATTCTAAAATTGTGTATTTAACAGTAGAATTGTAATTTACTAAAGTAATGTATTCAGCATTTTTATAATTAAAAATAATTGTTGTTGTTGTTGTTGTTGTTGTTGTTGTTGTTGTTGTTGTTGTTGTTGTTGTTGTTGTTGTTGTTGTTGTTGTTGTTGTTGTTGTTGTTGTTGTTGTTGTTGTTGTTGTTGTTGTTGTTGTTGTTGTTGTTGTTGTTGTTGTTGTTGTTGTTGTTGTTGTTGTTGTTGTTGTTGTTGTTGTTGTTGTTGTTGTTGTTGTTGTTGTTGTTGTTGTTGTTGTTGTTGTTGTTGTTGTTGTTGTTGTTGTTGTTGTTGTTGTTGTTGTTGTTGTTGTTGTTGTTGTTGTTGTTTAAAAGGTTTCGAGTTCGTCGGACAAAAAAGTTCATGAACTTCACTTAAAGATCAGAATTGAATCAGAATCACAAAAAATACTAAAACTGGAAAATATAAGATAAAATATACAAAAAATAAATATTACTGTAACTTTAAATTACTTAAAAAAACTTAAAATTATTATAACATTTTTATTAAAATTATAATTATAAAAAAAGTATTTAACAGAATTGTAATTTACAAAAATAATATATACAGCGTTTTATGAGTTAAAATAATGATAATAATAATAATTATTATTATTATTATTATTAATATTATGCTTTGCATTTTAATGTAAAAAAAAATATTGATATATTACATATCATTTATACAAATTTGTAATTAATTTCCTCTTATATTTTTTTCAGTTTAGTCTGCTTTAGTGAAATTTTTACTCTGGGATACTCCACGCGTCACGTGGAAAGCGAGAGGTGCTTTTAAACGCAAAGTTGCACGGTTTTAACTGGCCCAAAGCAGAATAAGCACAATGTAAGGCACCATTATTTTGTGTAGCCACCCAGATGAGGTCATTAAGTCATTTATGTAAGCATTTTCAGGTGTTCACTAAAGAGAAGCGCCACAATTAGCTGCACCGTCTCTTCTAATGAGGTTTAACCAGGAACTAAATGCTACCTCCTCATTCCATTAATATCCCATTTTAGTTATACTTAACTAAAGCTAAAAGTAATATATATTTTAGAAATATATAAATAAATTAATTTGTATGTATGTGTGTATATATATATGTATAAGGTATGACAAAAACAAAAAAAACTTGACAATTAAAATAAAAGACAATATAAAAATAAAGACTAATTTAAAATATTAATAATTATAATGTTATGATTATTAAGTATTAATAATTATATCAAATTATAATAGTATTTACATAATACAAAAATAACACTGATTCCTGCCACCCGTCTGTAGTAATTTATTGAGTTTTGGTATTAATGCAGTAAAAATAACATTTTATTTGTAATGCACTTTTTTTTTTTTCATACACTTAGTTCTTTATTTAAAATAACCTCAAAATAAGAGTTCGGTAATTTACTCAACTTTAACATGTGGAGCATAAAAAAAGATGTTTAGCAGAATATTCATGCTGCTCTTTTATCAATAAGTCAGAGACCTTATTCACAGATATAGAAATGATCGGTTCAGCTCAGTTGTGAAAGGAAATGCAAACTGATTTGTGATTGCACTTGATCCAGCTGGTGTTGCTTTTATTTTCATTTCGTCTGCATGTAGAGTAGGTGTTTGTACACCAGGTGAGGCCGAGCACTTGACTTTATACGTGTGACATGAAGAATGCCGTCAGACCCGAACGGCTGCATTCTGTGGCTCTGCTCCACTGTGTCTCTCAGACGCTGATCCTCAGACTCTGTTTCTCTCTCTGTCTCTCTCCATCGCTCGCTCCGGGGATGAAGGGTATGAAGAAAGGACGCTCTGAGGTCAAGAAGGTGGGTCCCCTGAAGATGGCGGCTCTCAATGGTCTGACCCTGTCCAGAATGCCTCTGCCCGATGAAGGGAAGGACGACCCGGAGAACGCGTCTAATGACGAGCGGGTGAGTACTGCTTTCTGGTTGATGAAATAGTAGTTAGTGGTTGACTAAAGTGTTTGTTTAGTTTTTTTTAAATGGTCAGTGATGTTGGGTGAACCAGACTTGGATATGCACAGTTTTGATTATTGATATTTTTCCCATTTTTTATAAAAATTTTAAAGTATTAGTCCGTTTAATAAATACATATATTGAATTTATTTATATATTTCTAATATTAAAAAAACTGAAATCTGTTTTAAATGTATTAATGTATTTAATAATTATAACATTTATAGTGAAGACATCAAAAATGTGTGTATGTATATGTATGTGTATGTGTGTGCATATGCATATATATATATATACACGTCTGTAATATATTATTTAAATATATTACTGTATTAGAACATTTTTATGATTGTTATTAGTGTAATATATAATATTTATGTTTCTAATATTTTTAAAATGTGTTCTAAATATTCTGATATATATATATATAAAATCATTATTATTGTTTACACTTCTGCAATATATTATTTAAATATATTATTGTATTATTACATAATTATTACTTTTATTATTGTAAGTGTTATTAATAGTAAAATTTGTTGGTCATCAAAAATATTATTGCATATATAATATTAATATTTATATTTCTACTATTTTTGTGTTTTAAATATTTTAGAATATATTAAAACATTATTATTTATTGTTGTTGTTATAAGTGTATACAATAATATACATTTATAAAAATTATATTATAAATTATTATTTATTTTCTAATATTTAAAAAATGTGTTAAATATTCAGTTATATTTTTAAATATGTTAATGTATTTATTATTATTATTACAGTTATTATTAATTCATGAAATCAATCAAAACTATGAAATATAACATCTAGTTTTAATTAATCATTATTGCATCAAGCAGCAGCTCGGTTTGTTTGTTTATTTATATAGCACAGTTTAATACAACACCAGGTTGCCCAAAGTGCTTCACAATATCACAATAAAATTACATGAAAAACAAACATTGTCACAGATAACAACACAAATCACATAACAACATGGGCACAATTTAAAATAACTAAACCTGCATCACAACAACTCCTCATTAGTCTTTAAAAGATGTGCTTTTAACATAACTTTGAAAACCGGTAGTGAGTTACCAGATCTAATAGTATGAGGGAGGTCATTCCACAGTTTTGGACTGGCTCGCGAAAAGGCTGTGTTTGTATTTTGTCCTAGTAAAACAAAGGAGGTGTTGATTTTCGGACCTCAGAGATCTCGTAGGAGTATAAACTGATACCATACTTGACAAATACTGTTGAGGGCAGATTGTTTATTAATGTGGTGCAGCAACTAAAATACTAATTGGCTTTTCAGGTGGGGAATTTTGAGAGCCAGTCAACTCAGTTTTTTTAAATACGTCTGCGCTCACTGTAAGAGTGTTGTAGGCGGTTCTGGATGAGCAGAGCCTCACGTCCTGTGTGTTTCCTGCAGTGTAAAGCACTGGAGCAGCGCATGGAGCAGGGGATGGTGTTCACCGAGTACGAGCATGTGCCCAAGAAGCGGCCCAACTGCGAGTGCACTATCGCTCAGATGCCCGAGAACAGCGACAGGAACCGCTTCCAGGACGTCCTGCCCTACGACGACACGCGTGTGGAGCTGGTGCCCACCAAAGAGAACAACACGGGCTACATCAACGCCTCGCACATCAGGGTGAGCTGTAGATCTGTGACCACAACATCATGCATGGATATTTAGAGACTTATTAGACTTATAGAGAAAAAGACTTATTATAATAATAACTTATAAACTTAATTTATTAAGATTATTATTAATAACAATATTATTAATATTGTGCCCCAAAACACACCGTGTAGATAAAACTGTAATCTTGGAAATAAGTTATCTTGTAATAAGTTTGATAGTAATAATAATAATTATTATTATTAATAAGTTTTATAATAATAATAATTATTATTATTATTATTATTATTGTTATTATTATTATTATGCCCTAAAATTGTTTGTTATAATACAGTTAGGGATAATAATACTTTTTGAACCACATTGAACTAGAGTATAAAAAACAAAAATACAAAATATAAATATATATAAAATAATGAATTATTTAATTTATTTGGGATAAGAAAAATACAATTATGAGTTAAAAATGTATTATCATTAATATTATTATTATTATTACTATTGAAACACGTTGAACTCAGAAATAAAATAATTGTTAATATAATATAAATATGTAAAATAATAAATTAAATTTATTTGAAAGAAGAAATGTACAATTATAAGTTAAAAATCTATTCTTATTCTTAATAATATTATTATTATTATGCCTGATCATGCAACATCAAACCATAATCGTAGAGATCTGACATAAAAATGTGCATAATCTTTCAAAGAATTCTAAACGAAACAGTTGAACTTCATAAAATTAGGTAAGAACATGCATCTTGTGGTCCAAAAGAAGCATGCAACATTTTATGGAAATCAGGCATAGGACGGGTATAAAAGTAAAATTTTAGATTTCTATTCTAATTTACCTAAATTTTTAGTTCTGATTTAGGTTCATTTGGGCTTGCTAAATTATACATAATATTTTTTTATGCATGCGCTTGAACATACAAGCGCTTGAACACCAATAATTGCTCTGCTTGCAGCTTTATATCAGATTAATCAGCCTTCATATTGTGATTTCTGCTGCTTTATTCATCAGGTTACGGTCAGAGGTAAAGAGTGGAGTTATATCGCGTCTCAGGGTCCGCTCTCAAGCACCTGCCAAGACTTCTGGCAGATGGTTTGGGAACAAGGAGTCGCCATCATCGCAATGGTTACAGCAGAGGAGGTGAAAATGAAAAGATCTCTGTATGCACATTAAGTGGTTGTTATATAGTGTCACTCTTGAATCTGATGTGTAAGTCATTGTTTTGTGTCCCGTCCTGCAGGAAGGGGGTCGTGAGAAGAGTTTCCGCTATTGGCCTCGTCTGGGCTCTCGCCACAACACTGTTACATACGGGCGATTTAAGATCACCACGCGCTTCCGCACAGACTCTGGGTGCTACGCCACAACGGGCCTGAAGATCAAACATCTCCTGACGGGACAGGAGCGAACCGTAATTGACAAAAAAAAAATAAAAAATATATATATATATACACACATTATGATCTTTCTTAACACTGTGCCTAAAAGTAATGTCACAAAATCTTATTGTTTGATTTGATTTAAATTGTTGTGCATTATACATAGTTTTTCGTCTGGGCTCTCGCCACAACACTGTTACATACGGGCGATTTAAGATCACCACGCGCTTCCGCACAGACTCTGGGTGCTACGCCACAACGGGCCTGAAGATCAAACATCTCCTGACGGGACAGGAGCGAACCGTCTGGCACCTGCAGTACACAGACTGGCCCGATCACGGCTGCCCGGAGGACTTTAAAGGCTTTCTCTGTAAGTACAGCACTAATGAAGGGCTTTCTTTATATCAAATGTACTGCTTTTGGCACACAGGACATCATAAATGGTGTTAGGATCTGCATGTGAAAAAATAAAGACATTACTGTCTGGACAAACTACTGGTTTTGTTAACCAGAAAGAAAAGTGAAAGTATTCTCTTAAACTCTTTAACAATTTGCAGTAAGAAAAAAAAAGTGGGTCACAAAACATCTTCGGCTCATATTTCTGGGTCATATATACCTAAAATATGTATACCTAAATACATATTTTATTTTGCATTAATATATGCAATTATATTTAATCAGTATATTATGATGCATATTTTTCTTAATGCAAAATTATTCTGTTTTATCATCATCATATTAAAGAACAATTAATCTGTATATTAAATATATATATATATATGTCACAAAATCTTATTGTTTGATTTGATTTAAATTGTTGTGCATTATACATAGTTTTATAATTAACTAACATAACATATAATTATGAACATCATAATATCAAAAATATTTTTTTCCCTTCTGATTTTGGGGTAAAACATGACTGGTTAAGTTTGCTTAAGATAATCCCAACAGTGTTATTCAGCACCATTATAATGATTCAAGAAACAGTATTTTGATGATGTTTATATACTTTAAGCTTCAAGAAGACTATTCTTGCGGCGTGTCCCTTAGCTGGCCTCTTTCTGTTGTGCAGCTTGTGTGTTTTCGCCTGGTGTGGCTCTTTAAAACGCTCTATTTCTGTGTCTCAGCGTACTTGGAGGAGATCCAGTCCGTGAGGCGACACACCAACAGCTCCAGCGATCCAAAGAACACAAACCTGCCGGTCCTGGTGCACTGCAGCGCAGGGGTGGGACGCACTGGTGTGGTCATCCTGTCTGAGATCATGATAGCTTGTCTGGAACATAATGAGGTACACATGTCCTGTGCTTACAGTGGCATGAACGCATGAGAGATTTAGTGCCTTTCACCAGCTTTTCAGGGCAGAGTGGTCACGGTTACCAGGGTAAAGGACATACACTGCTTACCACTGGCAGAAAGAAATGTTACACTTCTGCTAAGCTTACAAACACACGGTTGCTAGGAATAGAGATGACAACATTCTCTGCAGATGTCAGGATGTGACTGATGGACAGGTTTGTACTGCACTTAGACCTAGTATGCACATTTAATGTGACGAAATCACAGCCGATGGTCGCTGAAGGACAGACAGTGGTACTGTTACGTAACTCGGGGACAATCATTTAGCCACTGAAACACTGAAAATGCCATTTCTCAATTTTCCAAAAACTGATTGCAACGTAACTTGGGGATCTTAAGACGGAGACATTGAACAGACTGTACTTGAATGCCTCGTTTACATCAAAAAAAAAAATAAATGGTGTATGGGGTGGCTTAATTACTTTCACTGGAAATACAATAGAAAAAGATTTGATTTAAAAATAACTAGTTTTAATTAATCCATTGAAGGAAATGAAACTTACAAATCAAATCAAAACTTTAATTAAAAAAATAATTTATTACAATTAATTTAATAATTAAATATTTCAAAATTTATTAAAATGATTTAATTAAATCTTAATTTGAAACGTGATTAACAGAGCAAAAAAATCTAATAATTTGTATGAATTACTAAAAATCTGATATCAGTGCGAAAACAGCTTCATATTATGAAACACTTTAGTTCAAACCTAAAGACTTATTTATTTATATATTTTTTCTATTATTTTTATGTACCTTTTATATACCACTTTTAAATCATCGTGTAAATTGTTTGTTGTGAATGAGTGAATCAGTCTGATATCAGTGTGAAAACAGCTTCATATTATTAAAGACGAGTTCAAACTTAAAGATTCAAAATTATTTATTATATTTTAATTAGTATACTTGTATATTAAATGTTGTGTAATTTAATATAATATAAAATATACAATATTTATAATTTTTTTATTTACCTTTTTTATGTAAATGATTTGTAGCAAATAAATGAATCAGTCTGATATCAGTGCGAAAACAGCTTCATGTTATGAAACACGAGTTAAACTTAAAGACTTAATTATTTAATTATATTCTAACTATTATATTTCAATATTAAATGTAATGTAATTATATATAATTAATAAATATTTAAATTTTTATTTCTATTATTTTTTACTTATTTTTTAACCTTTTCATATACAATTTTTGAAATAATTTTTATGTGAAGCACTTTGCATTATCGCTGTATGTGAAATCTGCTTTACAATTTTTTTTAAACTTGCCTTACTTTGCTTATTTATTTAATATTATAAAACATAGGGCTGGGCGATATAGCTAAAAAATTGATCAACAATATAATGTTTCATATCGTTCGGTATCGATAATTATTGACATTTTTTATAACCTTTTTTAAAACAGACCAATATAATTTTTTGTTTTTATTTAACCACTGTATTTTTAAATTAACTCACTTTGAGACAAACAACAAATATTTTTTTTTGTTTTAACAGTCAAAAACAAAATAAAAATTAAACATCTCATTTCTAATGTTTTATATGCAGATTAAATAGGTTAAACTTTTGGCTTGTCTCCCGAGGCCACAGGAGGGCGCAATGAGCAAAATAATGCAGCACATTAAATTGTCAACTTAAGGAAGTAACTGTCTATTAAAAAAAAACGTGCATTACATCTAAATGAACTCATATAAATCAAATATTATTTCGTAAATTGCATAAACAATTATGAACAAAACAGCATCACGTATTTATACATTGCTTAATACAAAGAGCCGAAGCGCCATTCTCACAGACTGCATTTAAAAACATATGCGACGCAGTGAAAAGGAAAAAACCTCCACAAATTTGTGACGTGTTTTCTAAAAGTTTAAACTGTTTTAACTTTGCATGGCTTTTTATACATCTCTTGTGTGAGACGTGAGTGCAGCAGTCGTATTTGTCCGTCTAGACAAATATGCGTTCTGTGTGAATGGCTTGGTTTCGGTTTTAACCTAATCAAGATCTTCCCCGCATTGAGCTACTATATTTCTCTAATATTTTGAATGAATAACGCAGCAACTGCGTGTCTCGTGGGCTACACTAACAAAACATTAAACTTCAACGTCACTTACATCATCATCACTGTATCTCGTGCTCCACTGATGACGCTCCCTGACGCACATCTAACATTGGATTGTACTATTTTTGCATTCAAATAAAAAGTTTATTTTAAATTCGACTAATATTCATTCTTTACTCACAATCTCCTCATCGCAGGCACAGCACTCATGTTTGTGTTTGTGTGTGCTGTCTGCGTCACTCATAGCATGTGCATATATCGTGCACTATATCGAACATTTTTATATCGTTATCGAAGAAGGTGTAGCGTCGATATATATCGATACCGTTTTATCGCCCAGGCCTAATAAAACGCATAATTCAGACTCTAAATTTGGATTGGCTGGATTGAAAACTGCTGTGAAATACTCATGTTTCAATACTGACGTGTCTATGTTTCCTGACAGATGCTGGACGTCCCGACTGTTCTGAACTTGCTGCGGCAGCAACGCATGATGATGGTACAGACGCTTTCACAGTACACCTTCATTTACAAAGTCCTCATTCAGTTCCTGAGAAACTCCAGACTGATCTGAGACCAGCGCTGGCACAGAGGAGGAGCCTACGAGCCTCTCACTACCCCTCAGTCCCTGCCGGAGCCGTGGCTTCGCTTGCACTTCCTCACAGTGTTAGTGACGGGGCGAGACACGAGCCGGGGCAAGTATAAAGGACGCTGCGCATCGCTCTATTTTACCAGTATTATTCACAGATTTCACTGTGGGCTTTTACACGGATGTCAGTCCCAGCACTTTTATTTTGCTGTACATAGACGCAGCTCTGTTATTTAATACGAGACGCTGAACTGCAGTGGTTCTTTTATACCGGATTTTATTAGTTTACCCATGAAGGTTTAGTGAGCCAAAATGCAAATAGCGGACACAGTGTTTAAAGACGTGGCATGTGAACTTCAGCAGATGGATGAATCTCACGAAAAGCCCAGATTTGGTGTCAAAATGTGTTTAAAATAATGCTGAAATGCAAAAAAAGGTTTGCTTTTCTTTATGCAAAATGTTTGAATGCTCATTTCTTTTCATGAGATTCACCCATTTGCATCATGGGATGGATATAAGAGTACTCGGGGAGTTTGAAGTATCACGTCCAGTGTTACGCGGCATGTTCAAGCGAAGCAGTTGCTTGAGATTTTACCGTTTAACCCTACGAACGGGTTTCACCCAGCAAACGCATCTCAAGTTAGAATGCAGCCAAAGACGAGAGGGTGCAGACGCAACCTATGAATAAGTTACAATATGTATTAAAATTGTATGTGAAAACTGTATTCTACATATAATAATCAGAAAGGCTTTCTCGTTGCATTAGGGATGATTTTGTATTTTTGCAGCTCTTGCCACATTTCCACCTGAATTCGATAACCAGACGCACCAAAGAGCATCACAGACTCGACTTTTGCATTAGAGTGAACAATAGTGTGGGTTTATTGTGAACGGTTTGTGACCTCATTATCTTAGACACACCAGCTATGATGGTTTACCAAAGAGTTTTCAGCATATCGAGTTCTTTAAGTCTTAAAACACTGTGAAACTGCATTATCCATTCTGTTTGCAGAGGAGCTGAAGGAGCAGAATTTGCCGTAGCAAATCATTAGGCCCTTTGTGTTTTCATTTGAATTGCAATCAGGTTATTTACGATAAAGCAGTGCAGACTGATGCTACATTCCACCATAATGGTGCTGTTGCATGTTCTGAAAGGAACAGTTCACCCATAAATGTACATTTGCTGAAAATGTACTGAATTTGGAGAAATCCATCACTTGCTCAGCAATGGAACCACCAGCTGTTTGGACTCTCATTCTGACGGCACCCATTCACTGCAGAGTGCGTACGTTTTTACACAGTACAGATATGACAGCATTGACAAACTTTATGATACAAATGTTATTTTAGTATTATATGCTATTATAGTATTAATTTATATATATATATATATATATATATATATGCATGTTTATTTATATTTATAGTATTATAGTATTGATTTTTAATTAGCTTTGCATTTTATATTTTCAGTTTGTTTTCATTTAAGTTTGAGTAATTTTATGATTTTTTTTCTTTTTTATATATATATATATTTCTATTGCTTTCATTCATTTAAGCATTTTTTTTTTATTTTAGTTTAGTTTTAGTCATTTTAGTATTAAACCAATTTTGACAATTCTTGTTTTAATAAAAAAAAGTGACTACATGTACCTGTTAGTGTTTCTATAAAGTGTTAAAAATTAAATTGATTCCGCAAATCAACCCATTTTATTGTTCTAAATGTATAATGTGTTAGGTAAATAATTAATTTCACTTATATCTCCATTGTATCCCAGCAGCCACAAGAGAGCGCCATGTTTCATGTGACGGTTTTGTGGATGCATTATTGTTGGAATAATCTTAAAGCTGGATGGATTTTAAGAGAATTACAGTGTTGTCTCAGAACAAATAAAAAGTTTCAGTCATTGTAAGATGTGGAGACTTAATACATCTAAAATATTTCTAGTTCCTCAATCTTTCTAAAAAACATTTGGCAATATACTGATGAATCTCTCTCCCTATGGAATCTCCAGACATTACAGGGATTGATTGACATCCATTGAATTAAAAATACACCAAATACACAAACTCAAAAAAAGAGTAAAAATGGGACAATAATGTCTAGGCCCACTTATTGTACCTGAACAATTACAGGTGACTTCCGGGCTGTTTAGTCCCTCCCATTTTGCCAGTTTACTAATATTTTCCTTTCTACTCATTTATATGAGTAAATCACTGTTGCATCAAATTGTATTTAGGTATGATGTTACCAATAAACCATAGTGACTATACTAAAAACTAAACTAAAAATGATTAATGAATAGTTATGATTATTAATGAATATTTTTTTTATGAACTCAGATGCTTTTTAGATGCCATTAACTATCTATAATGGACAAACTGTCAGTGTTTCTTATAAAATAGTGAGCAAAAGAAGATTAAAATTTCAGATCCACATGAAGCTTTCTGTTGGTTAGTGATGTTCTTGACTGTTCTCAATTGGTGATGAATAAACTCTACAGGGCCTGAGGAGAATCAAATTTAATCAATTAAGCTGAAAGGGGAGGAGCCATCTTAACTCAAAGCTGTACTAAATAGCAAAGCCAACACTGATGTGCATTGGAGCATTGTGCCAAAGTTTGTCAGGATGGGTCTCTTGCAAGGTGTGTTAGCGGTGGTTATGATTGTGGTGTTTGATCTGAAGAGTGCATGGGGAAGTTTGAGACAAAGTCCAAGCAGCATGAAGCCACAGTCAGATCCAGCTTCTAGAGGTCCTACTCTTTCTATTCAAGGGGTCTTGAATCCTTTGCAGAAGGTTTCTCAGTTTCAGAGCTATTCAAGGGGTCTTGAATCCTTTGTGGAAGGCTTCTCAGTTTCAGAGTCAGGACTCCAGAGGATTTGTGCAAGAGCCTCTTGGTTTTCAGGAGAAGCAGCTGTTGCAGGGTCCAGTCAAGCCTTTGGACTGGAGGTTTCCCATCGTTCCAGAGGTGCAAAGCGAGTTGGCGGTGGACTTCCAGTTGAGGCAACCCGTGACTCCCAGTAGTGTGGCTGTTCAATGCGGTGAGAACCGGGTTCTTGTGGAGGTAAAGAAGGATTTGTTTAGCAATGGCCAATTGATCCAGCCATCTGGTTTGTCTATGGGAGGCTGTCCTGTTGTTGGTGAGGACTCTGCCTCTAGGGTGCTCATCTTTGAATATGAACTACAGGACTGCAATAGTGTGCTGATGGTAAGAACTGTTAGGTCTTACTGGATTATTTGTACACCAAAAAATAAAGGGTTTTGTCAATTGTTGCTTGAATGTTTAATGTTCACAGGACTTTTCCGTTCCTTATAGTGGGAATTTTTGTTTTTAAAGAATTGCTCCCTGAAAGCGGCTTTGGGGAACCAGAAGTAGTTATGGCATGGCTGCTAAAACCTTTTTGATCCTTTTAAGAGTGTAGTTGAGAACCCTCTTGGTAACGACTTCAATCTCTTACAGATGACTGAGGATGAGCTTGTCTACACCTTTGCTCTTACCTACACTCCTGAGGCACTTGCTGGCACTCCGATTACCCGTACCAATGGTGCAGTTGTTGGTGTTCAATGCCACTATCAAAGGTAAGTGACTGGATGTGACTTACAGCACTGTCTTGTGGTGTTGTAACTGGAGGACTGTTTATCCTACTTTAACTGCAGGTTCTATAATGTAAGCAGTAATTCCTTGAGGCCAACTTGGGTCCCTTATGCCTCAACAGAGGTTGGGGAGGATGTCTTGCTGTTCACCCTGAAGCTCATGATGGGTTTGTGCAGTTTCTTTAGATCTTAAGCTGTGTGAATGAGGCTGTGTCTAAACTGTTCTTTCCGCTTGCAGATGACTGGTCCTATCAGAGGCCTTCAAACTTGTACTTCCTGGGTGATGTTATTAATATTGAGGCATCTGTGAAGGTGTACAACCACGTCCCACTGCGTGTGTTTGTGGACCGCTGTGTGGCCACCCAAGTACCTGATGTGAATGCTCTTCCGAGATATTCCTTCATTGAGAATCATGGGTAAAGTCACGTCACTTGATTCTCCAGAATTGATTTATTCTTGAACTTGCTCTGATGACTTGGTCACTGAGAATTAGGGTGAGTCAACTGTAAACTGACTAAAGGTGTCTTAGTTCCTCTTGGTAAGTGCTTTTTCTCTTCTGAGAATCACTGTCCCTGCATCCCAGTGTTCATACTATTCATCCTAAGTGTTATGTGAGCTTTAAATAAGTGTCCTAAAGCATAGTATGTTAGTGTTTGCCATAAAGAATCTTAAATGGTAGACCCTCCAGGGACTTAAGTGTGTATCCATGTGCACTCTAATGGCTAATATTGGCCATAATCCATTGTGCTATGGCGACAGATTCAGTTCATATCTACAAACCGGAATGATGCATTAAAACTACAAACATGGCGGGTGTGCGACCGATGCCTAAGAGGTTTAGATAAAGTGGTTTGATTTTTACTAAATTTAACCTGGTAAAAAATGTAATGGTTCTTGAGCAATGTCAACCTTTATAAACATCCATTTGGCCATTAACTTTTAAATGTAAAATTTCGCCGCAAGTCCCACAGCTGGCAGATTAATGTTTCTTTTCTCTCCAATACAGTAGGAAGTGAAATGTGGAGGATGTTAGCGGTGACTAGATGACTGACAGGCCGGTTTAGAGTCAGGGTGCATGTAACTATGCTACGTAGTGGTCTGTTAAAGACAAGTGTGATGCTTTGTCCCAAAGTTTGCCTACTCTCATACTACACAACTGTACCTTTTCACCAAAAGAGTACACTTTAAGGGCATAGTAGAAGTAGCCACTTTGGGACACCGCACGGGTCATGGCAACTTCATGTATGAAGTTGGCATTCTTGAGCTGCTCTTTAACCACTTTGTCCCTCAGAGTTAAGGTAAGGTAGTGTCTGGATGCTGTAGAATCGATGTGTGTGTGTGGGTTTTTTTATTTTATCTCAACATGTGGTCCTGATGGTGGAAATGCTGATCCTTTTGGGGGTAGGTAGCTGCTTTAAGATTGCTTTTGACACGTCAAGTGCTCTACTTAACTTGGGTATTTGCTTTTTCTAGGCATTCAGTGGGAAGGCAAGGCCTCACTCGGTCCTGTAATGGTTCAAGAGCGGCAGAAGACTTTAGCTGGTTTTCAATAAATGGAGAAACCTGTTCTTCTGGTTTTCTTGTCTGGTTTAACACATTTGGATTTGAATGTGCTGTAAATGTGGGGAAACTGGTAGTCCTACTGTACCCCTTCTCTTTCTAGAAGGAAAAACTCCCTTTTCTCAGAAGGGAAATATTAACCTCACCTTTAAAGAGACCTGTGACCTTGGTTTAAAGAATTGGGTGGACTCCGTTGCCCATGATGCTATAAATTGTTCTGCCAATTGGAGTCTCTGCCCCAAGCGTTCTACTTGAACACCCACTTCCCTGAAGCAGTGCAGATATTTTGTATGCATTGTTTTGGTAACTTCAAAGGAGTGGTTTCATTTCTCCTTGCATCACCAAATAGAATTGATCATCGTTTCAAATTTGTTTCCAATATGCCTTGTTGACGGTCTTCTGGATCAGGGTGGGGACTTGCTAGTACATGCATACTCTTAGCTCAATAGGTATGTTAAAAGAAGCACACTTCCAGTTTTCAACTGAATAATTTCCCACTTTTGGAATTTCACCTTCAGTTGGATTACTGATCTCATGCATTTTAATTCAGGAAAGTGGCATGCATCTCACTTAAGTTCAGTTTTTATATGCAGTGTGCCAAACCTGTAGTGTTGTAAGGGTTTTTGTGCAGTAGATTGGTTATTCCAAAAAAAAAATCATTGACCACATAGCACTCAAACTGACTCATAATATTGTCTGGAATTAAAGGGATGGTTAACCCAAAAATGAAAATTACCCCATAATTTACTCACCCTCAAGACATCCTAGGTGTATATGACTTCTTTCATGTGAATACAATCGGTTTTATATTTTAAAAATGTCCTGGCTGTTCCCAGCTTTATAATGGGAGTGAATGGGTGATATTCAATTGAAGTCCAAAAAACTGCATCCATCACAGAAATAAGTGCTCCACACAGTTCCAGGGAGTTAATAAAGGGCTTCTGAAGCGAATCGCTGTGTATTTGAAATATCCATGTTTAAAACTTTATAAAATGTAATCTCTAGCTTTCGTTAACTGGTATGTGTGATCAAGAGAGTGG